ATATATATATCTCTCTCTCTCTTCTAAGTGTTTCATTCTTTTCTTTCCTCTCCTCATCCTCTTTGGCCGGAACGGCTGCGCGCGTCCGCTTATAGCTCGGCCCGAGCTTCCCTTTGTGTGTAACGGTGAATCATGAAAGGACTACGGGGCACGGAGGAGGAGGAGGAGGAGGTAGAAGGTGGAGGAAGAAGCAGAAGAAGACGAGGAGAGTCTGAGGAGAGGCGTGGGAACAAAGGAAAGGCGACCTGAGCGAAATGAGCAGTGAGATAGAGAGAAGAGGGGTCCGCAACCGTCTCGGCTCTTCCTTCTTCTCGTCTGATCCCTCCTCATCATCCCTTTCTTTCCCCGTCTACCGCTGCCTTTTAGAACACCTCGATAACCTTCCTCTACTTCTGCTTTGAAAACGGCAGAAAGACATTGCCGGATGTTGCGGAAATTGCTCGAGATTAATTATTCAACTGCCGGTTACCGATGATTAAATGCACCGACGCTTCGAAACACGGATAACTGTAAATCTGTAGGATCACTCGATGAGTAGCCATTTTTTTATCCAGTGGATTAGCCAAGTGTGCATCGATTTAGACTTCGCATATCCAATGATCGAATGGAACACAGTCTATTTATTAGCTTTGAAAATCGTGTGTACACGGCTGACCTCGACGACTCTCGATGTCTATTTCTCGTTAAGTTCCCTCCCCTTTCTAGGCTACGCACAGCAAAGGTCACCACCCGGTTCGCGTATCCACGAGATTTCTCTTTGAAGATCGAAGAAAATCTCGCGAACCTCTCGTAGATCCATTCGGTTAGTTATTTAACACTAGAAAGACTGAAACTTAGTATATACCTATATTGCCTAAAAGCAGTAAAAATGATTGCATTGTGAAAGAATAATGTGTAANAGAACTTTAGGGGTACTTCAAATCATTTTATACCCAAAAGAACGTATACAAATAATAAAATTTTACCAATTTTTTCATTTTTATTGAATACAACAAAATCTGTTAAATATTACAGTTTGCAATTAGTTTTCGTGTCGCTCGAGTACAAATAATTAATTATGATCGTGACGATTAAAAATCAGAACTCTGTTAGTAAGGAACGGATTAAAAATAACATGAACAGGTGTTTGTTGCGTCTGTGGAATAATGTTGCGGTTTAATTTGCAAGTTCAACGACCCAAGTAATCGGTTTTAAAAATCAGAACCCTTGAAACGGTAAACTAGCTAGTCGGCAACAAAGTATCGCTCTGCCGCTTGAGCTAATAATAATTTATTTGCAATTTCCGGGCTGGTTCACGCACCGTGATGGGATAGTTTAAGCGTGTCCCTTCGGCTATTCGTTTTCCGACAATATCTTTACCGATGATCGAAATTAGGGGACTGTTTTATTTGCAAATAGAATCTAGTTTACCGTCGACGGATCGTTTGCGACAGTTTCGTTCCACTCGACGTTGCCCTGAAAGATTTAATTATAGGTCAGCGTTTCCCTTGGTTTTCGTTGACGCTCGGGTTTCGAGGCGTCTCGGGAAGGTTAATCGTCTCGCTTTCTTAACGACACCGTTTATTACCTGAGCAACACTCGTCGTCGTCGTCGTCGTCCCTCGTTAACGCTCGCCGACGTGACGTCCAGACTTACGTAGCCGCACCTGCGTGACGTCAGCCAACGGAACCAGTATTATATTCCGTAATAACGATCAAACCGCACGAACGAATGGAAGCCCCGAGGGTAATCGCCGAAGGAAAAACTTCCGGGTTCACGGATTCGCTACTTGCATTCTGTTCCTGCTTCTAAGAATTTCTACAGATTCCTTCCAAGTGCTTTTTTATGCTCGCTCCTTCCTCTGGGGCTTTTCTGATAATCAATCGAATTGCGTTTCCCTGTCGTTTACCTCACGTTTATAAATCTTTTTTTTTTTTTTTTT